CTATGGATTCCATACTTCAATGTCGCTTATGCTGCTCGACCATGTGCAGTCATACGATGAGACATATTCAACACTTACATGTATGGTTCGATCAAGCTGGCGAGAAGATGTATCTGGCTCAAAGCGAGCCCAACGACAGCGGCGCAACGATCTGGCTGTTCTGTAGCCAGCTTGTTATCAAGTCGGTTGTCTTGCAGCAACAAGTTACCCAAGCTCGAGACATGAAGCGCGGTCGCGAGTGCGGCACGAATCTTGACATCCTCCAGCTCGGTAATGTACGTCTTCAATAGATCGTTAACCTTCTTCTTGTGCTCGGTGAAGTACTCATCGTCGTACTTGGTCCAGTCAGGTACGACCGAATCGTAGATCTTGGCGTTGTTGACGAATTTGATCACGCGGTTGATGAAGTTACCCAGGTTCTTCAGCAGCTCGTTGTTGTTTGCGGCGATGAAACCGTCCCACTCAAATTCGGTATCTCCAGTTTCTGGCCGATGTGAGAGAAGGTAGTAGCGCCACACGTCAGATGGAATGCCGGTCTCTTTGGCGTTGTTGCCGAAGACACCAATGTTCCTTGACTTTGAGAACTTGCCCTTCTCGTAGTTCAAGTATTCTGTGGTTGAAATGGTGTTGAGCATAGTCCAGTTGTCCTTGGTACCGATCTGCGAGCAGGGGAAGACGACCGTGTGGAACGGCACGTTATCCTTGCCCATGAACTGGTAAAGCTTGACTTGTTCGGGGTTGTGCCACCATTTCTTCCAGTCCTCGGTGTAGGTTGCTGTAATGGACACGTAGCCTATGCAAGCGTCGAACCATACGTACATGACCTTGTCCTCGTAGCCCTGATACATGTCAGCTGAAATTCGTCGTGTTCAAAAGTGCGTCGTACCTCGAGCGGCACCGCAGTTCCCCACTTCAGATCACGAGTGATACCACGCGGCCTTAGGCCCTCCTTCAACCAAGATGAAGTAATGTGAACACCATTGGAGCTCCAGTTACCCTCCTTACTCGCCTTCTTGAACCATTCTTCTTCTGATGGCTGCAGCTTGTCGAGGCAGAGGTACACATGCTTGGTTTCGCGCGGAACTGGCGTGGCGCCATCGAGCTTGCAACGCGGGTTCTTCAACTCCAGAGGGTCGAGAAGATGTCCACACTTGTCACACTGGTCTCCACGCGCGTCTTCGTATGCGCACAACGGACATGTGCCCTCGACGAATCGGTCCGCAAGGAAACTTTTGTGTGTCTCGCAGTACGGCTGTGTTGTGGTCTGTTCCTCCAGGAATCCATTTTTGTATAGTTTTGTGAAGATGTCTTGCGCGATGTCGGTCTGTTGCTGTGTGGGTGTGCGTCCGAAGTGGTCGAAGCTGATGTTGAACCACTTGTAAACCTCGCTGTGGAGCGCGAAATACTTGTCGCATAGCTCTTTCGGAGTGACTTTCTCTTCTATAGCCTTCGTCTCCGTTGCTGTACCGTACTCGTCTGTTCCGCAGACGTATAGTGTGTTGTAACCTCGGGCGCGTGAGAAACGTGCGAAGACGTCGGCGGAGAGTACGGAGCCGACGATGTTGCCCAGATGCGGGACATTGTTCACGTAAGGGAGTGCGCTAGTAATGAGCACATTCCGCTCGCCCTCTACTGGCAGGATCTTCTTCGTTGTTTCAGTCATGGAAGGTTGTAAGCTTTCTTGAGTCAGCTCGTTGTAGTGGTAAGAGAAACGTCGATGTAGCTCTTACTATGGTGTATCGGGATATGTAATTGAAGGCGAAGAGGATGGGAGGAAAGCGAGCGCGCAATGGGGATATATGCAGCTCCGTGTTTCTTTGGTCGAGTAGCTGAGTCAAACGCGAATGACTGCACACACGGCGGATGTGTGGTAGCTGCCCCGCCTAAACTTACCCCACCAGCCAGTGACGCCACAGGTGGCTGAACCCTGACTTCGATCTTTGCAGCAAAGGACTTGATCGCCTTTCAGAAGCGGAACTCACACGGATCTCAGTAGAACAGTCTACGAAAGCTTGAATTACTGCCTTTTCTACAGAGCACTAAGGGTGAATTCCTCTGAAGAGAAACCAAGACTTGACTCATCCACACCATAAATATTTGAATTTGGTAACAACCTCAGAAATTGTGCAGTAGCACCACGAGAGAAAGACAACATACAAAACCAAATCCTCAGCTGTTTGGACCGTCAAATCACTCTTCATACAACCATGGCATCCGAACCCACCAACCCATCACCCACCCGCACCCCCTCCCCAGACCCCTTCGACGCCCTCCTAACCCTAGAAGACACCCTCTACACCACCGCCTACGCCCTCGGCGCCACCTCCGGCGCGCACGCCGGCCGAATCGAAGGACGAATCTTCGGTTTGGAAAAAGGCTTCGAAAAGTTCGCTTCATTGGGAGAACTGCACGGACGGAGTGTAGTCTGGGGGTCACGGTTACCTGGTCTCACACCTAATCTCACATCCAGTGCCGTATCAAAAGAGGAGGAAGCTGGAGGTAGAACGCTGCCGCAGTTAAAGAGTAATGAGAGACTACGCAACAACACAACACTCCTGCACTCCCTAACCGACCCCCTCACCTTCGACACTGCAAACACTGAAGAAGGCGTCGCGGATTTCGACGACAGGTTCAAGCGCGCTGGGGCGAAGGCAAAAGTCATTGAGCGAATTGTCGGCGAAGCCGAAAGTAACAGTGCCTCTACAAAATCACCTGATGGATCACGATCACCAGCGAGAGGAAAGACGGGACCGGTGAGAGTGACTGGGCAGAGTAAGGCTGGTGGAGCGAAGAAGGGGGATGACAGTATAGAAGATTTTGCAGGATCGAAGTTGTTGCGCTGAAGGGCATGGTTGGGAGCATACGGCTTGAGTGTGATGACTTCGGGCGGGTCGGGCGGCGCTGAGCCCTGTCTGTCTCAATGGGGAGAATGGTAGATGAGGATCTGCGCTCGTATCATCTGGTATCCCGTACCTGCCTCCCTGGGTAGAGCAGACTGGGCCTCGTACCATCCCCAAGATTATGGCCTGACATCGCTGCACCGGCGGAAAGAGCGAACTACCAGGTCAAACGGGACAAGACACCAAGCCATCATACAATGCTTGCAAGAAATGATGGAAAAGCACTAGGCTTCAAATTACTCTGCTATCTTAGAAGGGGACCCGGGCACAACCCAAGGTCTTAGCTCAACCACTACACCGTTGCTATGACATACGAGATGAAGAAAGATAATAAGAATCCATCGTAACTAAAAGGATATTGAGAAAGGTGTCAAATCGAAAGTGTGCCGCAAAGTCTCCTCCTCTCCCTTTTCGTGCTAGATGATGCACTGGTATCAAAAACATGTCGCAAATGCCCCCCCCTTGCGATTGACGCACACCTAAACCACCTCCGCTCAGATAGCATCGATCATAGGGACAGGCCTTTCCATGCGTGGCTCCATACGCGGTGGTGGAGGGCCGTTGGGCTTGCCCCCGCTACTATCGACGCGGTTATGATTCGGGAACTCCTAGTACCCGTTCATGGTCATGCGCTGGCTGTTCCTGCTGAGCTCGCGGTCGGCAGAGGGTGAGATGGGGCGCGAGGAGTGGCCCTGGTGAGAGCTCTCCTTGAGGGCAAGCAGCTGCTTGGCGCGGAACGACTCGTAGTGGATTTGTGCGGTCGTCTCGATCAGGTCTTGCAGGTGGGTGCGGGTGAGGAAGTTGCGGAGGTAGACGAATTCGCAGTGGTTCTCGTCCTCGACTGGGGGATGTTAGTGGAAAGCGCGTGGAGGGTGGTTTGAGATGGCCTACCGTTGATGATACCCCACTTGTTCTGGCGACCACGGACGTTCCTGCCGTTGACAACAACGGTCCTCTCAGAGCCGACGACGGCAAAAGGAAGGAGTTCCTAGTGGAAGTTAGCAGACGTCCAGTCGCACCTCGACATCTTCCTCACCTTGATGGCTTGCTTTGCCTGGACTTCCTCGTTGTCATCCTCCTCGTTGTCGTAGGGGTACATGCGCAGGTTGTGGAACTGGAACTCCTCCTTTATCCTGTGCTTGAACTCGGCACGCTCCTCCAGGGTCAAGCTGTCGCTCTTGGCAATGACGGGCACGACGTTGACAAACTCGCTGAGCTTCTTGAGGACGACAATGTCGATGGGCTTGAGGGCGTGGCCAGAGGGCTGGATGAAGAACAGGCAGCAGTGGATGCGCGTGTCCTGGAGGTAGCGCTCACGCTGGGCAGTGAGCTCCTTGCGGAGGTAGGCGCTGTGCTGGTCCTTGATGTACTTGACAATGGGGTCCCAGCAGCGCTCGTTGTTGATCAGGTCGCCATAGCCGGGCGTGTCGACGATGTTGAGGCGCAGACGCACGCCGTTTTCCTCGATGATGTGTGAGACGGGGTGGATATTGGTGGTGCTGCGGACCTCCTCGTCGGGCTGGAAGCGGCCCTTGGAGTCCATGAGGTGCGAGGCGAAGAGCGTGTTGATCAGAGTCGACTTGCCGAGACCAGTCTGGCCTGTACACCGTCAATACCAATGAACACACGTGACAGAAAGATGAAGCCTACCAACGCAGATGACATTGAACTGGAAGCCCCGCTTGACCGACTTGCGCTCAATCTGCTTGGTGATGCTGTCGAAACCGACATAGCTGTCCGGGAAGATGGGCTGCGACTGGTTCTGGTTGTATGCAGCAGCCATTGTGGATGATGGGAGCCTCGGGGCGCGGACTGGGGGTGATGGAGGTGGGTGGGTGAATGGGAATTAGGTTGGGGAGAGGAGGGTCGGAGGTGTCGTCGTAATAGAGTAAATAGTCAGGGTCGCTGCGCTGGCGACTTTCTCGTGGAGATGCAGGCGCGGGAAAGGGGGCAGCTAGGAAGCGAAAGCGCGCTAGTGGGAGGGCGGTAAGGCGCGACCTGCAAGCTCGGACTGGGGTCACGACATTTTACAACACCATCACCGGCATCGCCATATCGCGGCCCTACGTAATCCCGTCGCAGCCAGTCACCGCTGCAGTCATGGCACTCACCCGCCCGCTCCCTCCGCTGTGGCAGACCCTGCTGCCCGGCCTCAATGGCCCAATGCGGCCTATCCTCAACACGCCTTTCCTGCAACGCCTATCACAGCCTTTCGGCGCAACCAACACACCATTCGGCGCACTCGCGATACCGTCACTTTCACTCCCCTCAATACCGTCACTATCCGATATCTGGGACGGCATACTCAATGCGGTGCCCAAGAAGAAGACGTCATACCGCAAGAAGCGCCAACGGTTCATGGCGGGCAAGGGCCTGAAGGACATCACATCGCTAAATACATGTTCTGGGTGTGGAAGAGTTAAGCGCCTGCACATCTTGTGTCCATACTGTGTGGATGGTAAGACTGCCAATCCCCATTGGAAGGGCTATTCGCTAACAAACACCCCAGCCATCAAGACCACCATCTTCGGCCAGCTCAACTGGGCCATCCGCCGACCGACCGACAAGCAAGCAAAGGTGATGAAGAGGGAAAAGCGCGAAGAGGCGCAGCGAATGCGGACGCTAGAGCCCGACCAAAGGAAGGCGAAGGAAGAGGCAGTAATGAAACACACGGGCTGGAAGAGATGATGCGGGGTGGAGGAAGTTGTGAACGAGAACTACGCCGGCTGAAAGAGATGGTGCGGGGAGGAGGAAGAAACCTCGAACGAGAGCAATGCCATGTATTCAGGATGACTATTTCTAGCGCATATACAGGCGCGGCTTGGGCGTTGGGATCTTGTACATGAAAGATGTAACAACATAACGGACAGGCGACTACGATATACACCACAGGCAAATGCACACTGAATCAAGCAATTCAAGGTGTCTTCAGCACCCGATTCTGTTGCACCAAAGTGTTCTATAATTACCCCAATCCATCCATTACCTCTTCTCGTTAGCACCCATAGGCGGCGAACCAACCGTACTCCCCCTCCTACTCGCATCGCCCTTCCCCTCCGCCGCCTCCCTCTCCAAGAAGTCCTGCCACAGCTCCGCCAAAGACTCCTTGTTACTCGAACTACTAGCCATGAGCATGGGGTCTGCGGCAGCCGCGCTCAGCGACGCCGTCGATGGCGTTCGTCTGAAGGGCGAGGAGAGAGGGATACGCAGGCCGGTTGAGCTGGAAGATGTGCCGGGGCGAGCGAGACCTGCTTGCTCTTTTTGCTCTGGGTGGGGGGTTAGTAAGAGGAAAGGTGTGAGGGTGAGGGGAGAGGGGAGGAGGGAAAGGGGGCGTACCATCTGTCCAGCCCAACAACGCAGAAATCAACTGCAGCGCCTCGAATTTCTTCGGATCACTCCGGTCTATACTCAGGAAATGCAAAAAGTAGTTTGTGATGATCTGTCGATCGACGTTATCCTCCGGCCGTCCTTTTTTCAGTATCCGCAGTGCCTTGGTGAGGTGCTCGTTGAGTGTCACGGCTTCGTGGCGCAGTTTGCCAATTAACAGGTTCTTCTCTTTCACTTCCTTCTCGAAGGGGAGGGCGCGCTCGAGATCTTTTTGCGTGGACTCGAGAGTCGCTTTGGCGGCGTTGGACGCTGATTCCGCGGCTTGGACTTGTTTGCGCAGGTCGTTGATTTGCGATTCGTAGGTCTCGACGGACTTTTTGAGCTCGGCTTTTCGCACTGTGGATTGTCAATTAAGAGAGCCTCTTGTCATGGAGTGGATAGCACTCACGGTTCTGTACTTCCTGCAGCGCCTTCTGCAGACCTTCCACAGCTTGATTGTTGGTGTCCCTATCCCTGGCAGCGCGTTCGTACTCTTCCCGCATCGACTCCAGCTGGTCTCGCAACTCGGCATCTTTCTCAGCGAGGTTCTCGCGCAGAGATCGCTCGTTCATGGCTAGCACTTCCCAATCTTGCATGGCTTGTTTGGCGTTCTCGAATTCCTCCCTAGCGTATGCCTCTCGTGAAATCAGCTCATCGCGTTCCTTGATCCAGTTCTGTTGCGACAGAGTCGACCTGCTTCGTAGGGTCTCGATCTCGGATGCCTGGGCTTCCTTTTCTTGCCGGAGTTTTGCGAGCTCCTCGGTCAGGCTGTTGTTGTTCTCTTGTAGTTCGCGGGTTTGCTCCTCGAAGTCGGCGATTTGCGATTGGAACTCCTCGATTCTGGCCTGCTCATAGTCAGTAGTCTGTCTGCTGTGGATTCCTGCGACAACATACCGCATCGGCCTTTAACCGATCGCCTAGGCTGGTCTTGATCGTATTGACCCTACCCAGCAAGTTCTTGTATTGTGTCTCAAAGTGCTCCTTGCCCTCGTTGGCCTCATCCAATTCCTCCCTCAAACTCCGCATCTCCTCCTCATGATTCGCATGTGACTCGTCTGATGTCCCCGTGGCCTGCTTGTTCTGAACCTCCTCGAGACTCTTCCTCAACTCCGTGACTTCCTGGCGTAGCGCATCGCGCTCCTTGGCTATCGCGTCTAGGCGTGCGCTGGCGTCTGAGGGAGGAGGTGGAGACGCGGAGATTCCTTGTTGCGAGCGTGAGCGTGCCAGTCCAAGCGCAATTGCGGACGAGATGCTGTGGTGTGGAGTCCCGTTGGTCTGCAGGGTCGGCGACAACGGCGGTTGGTCGTCGTCTACGTCGTCGGCGTCTGGATCGGCTGAATGCGCGGCGGGCTTCTGCATTGACACCATTAGTACTCGTGGTTGTATCGAGGGCTCTCGTGGACCGCATACAGCCTGCTCGGCCTCATCCTCGGCGTCTTCATCGTGATCCTCCGCGTCGCTTCTGGCGTGGTCCCCATTCACTTTGTCTGTGCCGTCCGCCTTGTTCGCAGCGGCGGCTTTCTTCTTATTCTTCTTTTTCTGCGACTTGGACAAAGTGCCTGGCGTCGCCTGTTAGCCCATAATTCTTCCGTGCTCCCACATCGGCCGCGACGTGAAAGCGGAGTTTACTGGCACCTCCGAGGGCTGCAAGCTCACCTACCACTCTGCTGTATGGGGTCCGATGTAGTGGGCGCAGACATCTTGAAAGACGCGTGATGCAGTCGCTACCGCATCAAGAAGGCTTAGTTTATGGGAGAAAGAGGCTCTGAGGGTTCTGGGGGAGCATTCGTGGATGTCTTGACTTGGCAATTCGTGTCCCGTTCTATGGTTTGTTTCGGCCCACGCGGTCCACGGGTGGCGTACGTCACTAGCCACATCTCACTGTCGTCCCATCTTTAGACCGACGCAGGCCCCTCGTAGTCATCAACCCGCATGCGACGACTTGTACATCGTCTCGATCACAAAGAAGACAAATTCTTTGTGTGCACTGCTCCACGACTCAAGCTATCAGCGACAGCGCGCCAACCTTCGCGGGGTAGCCGAGCCCTCCGACATCTCCTGCACTCCAGCTCAAACAAGCCAAGACTAACCACGTAATCATTTCGATCCTTCAGAGCATGAACTACTACCGGCCTCTGTTCTATTCGGCTATCACGATCATATATGCCTCGTTCACACTTCGAGTCCTCAGACTAGATCTTCTCCCAAGAATGATAAGCCAGAAACGTGATACAAAGGCCTCGTAAGAGGGCGCATCAGATATTTGAGTGCTCCAAGCATCGACGTCTGGTTACGATGGGCTCCTTGCATGCGATACACATGAACCCCTTCGCATTTCACCTGCTGGGGTATCGTGTGTACGCGTTCTTCGACTTATCCGATTGAACCGTCCAGCCAACGGCTATGAAAGAGATATCCATCCGTCACTCGAGGCTATCACCACCGCCATTGTCCTATTACAGCTTGATCGATGTAATTTACGCCCTGTAAAGGCCGGGTACTGCAAGGCCTCTCATGGTATCACTGTGCCGTGGAATCCTACTGAGTTTGTAATCTGTTCTGGCCAATGGCAACAACCTACATCGGACACTTTTAGGAGCACGGTCGACCATACCTCTGGAAAAGTCCCCGAGTTCATTATGTGAAGATGTGGTTCTTCATTGACCATATTCTTAGTACCATATCTGGGGCTTACACTGGCACATTACATACCAAAGCCCCATAACAGCATTTCTATCCACTGATTCAGTTCCAAAACCATGACCGCCCCATTGAAGCCAAAGCAAGCGCTCGATTTCGAAGGTGCCCTGCTCCAAGAACTCCAAGGCGAAATCAGCAATTCCATTGCTCAACAGCTCCTGGAGGGACTCCCACCACTCACTGCAACGTCAGTCGTCCACGACAACGGCTGCGGTCCCGGCGCAGTAACCATGGCGATAATTGGAAGTAACCGCCCAACAGGTCTCAAGATTCACGCCACGGACGTAAATCCCATGTTCCTCGCTGAGCTGCAAGCCAATCTCACCGATAATCCCTCGTGGCCATTCAAAGTCGAGACAATGGACGCCTGCAACCTCACCTTCCCAGACAACACCTTCGATTACTCCTTCACCAACTTCGTCTTCGCAGGCCTTTCTGACGACGGCGGCGCCGCCTCGCATATCCTACGTACTTTGAAGCCAGGTGACACAGGCGTTATTACTGGTTGGGCAGAAATGCCATGGCAAATTGCGCTTAAGAACGCGCACTACAAGACATGTGGTACGGAGGAGCCAATGGCGCCTTTTCTGAGCAAGAGTTGCTACCAGAAGGAAGAGATTGAGCAGGCCACCAGGGAGGCTGGATGGAGGGATGTCAAGTTTGTGCGGAAGGAGGCGTATTTGAATCTTGGTACTGATCTTAGGCGATGGGCGTCTATTGCATGGACCTTTTTGGGGGCGCCTGTTGGTGGATGTCAGCAGCGCGATGAGAGGATGTGGGAAAAGGCGCTCGACTCTATCGTGGAAGAATTGCCTCGTAATGAGTGGTCCAAGGTTGAGGGTGGGGTGAATAAGATAAGGATGGTTGCTGATGTTGCGATTGCGAGGAAGTAGGGTTTGTGAGCAAGCGACTTGATGTGTATACTGTGTCACAATCTCGGTCTATTCGAGCAGCTACGATGTAAGAGCTTTTCTGCTTATCGGATCACGAAATTCAGACTAGATAGCTGTGGGCTCCGATCCTCTATCAGATCATGTCACTGCTTTAGGTATCAACAAGTCTATTCTTGACTAACCGTTCTACTTACCTTTGTTTTGCAAACATCGTGCTTCTGCTTGCCCTGTTGTTGGTACAATGTCCATAAGAGGTGGAGGGCAGAGACAGCCGATCGGTCACCGCCCGTCCAGGACGCTGTATTGGTCAAAGCTTCCTTGAGAGCGTTTGCTCTTTGTCGCTCACCTCCAGGCGGCCATATATACTGAAGAGATAATCGCGCTAGCAAAAACTTTTCAAGTTGTCTTGCCGGTAACAATCCGTTCTCTCATCTCCTCTCTTACCCGTCAACCGACTTCACCTCACTCCACTTACTTGACTTCTCCACATCTTGGTCCAACATGCGGGTGTTACTCCTCCTCCTCGTCGGTCTTCTTGCGACACTGACCTCCGCCTACACGTTCCCTTTCAACGACAATCGTCTCACCAACAGCTCGTTAGTCGAAGACCGTGTCGCCGAACTACAAGCAAGCGGGCAGCTAGGTGGTGACGGAGGCAAGGGTTGGATGACCATCATCGGCGGCGGAGCCACGCCCAACAAGGCCATCTGGCCTAACGATTCCAAGAACGTCAATTTGGTTTACATCCACTACTGCTTCGCAACACGTAGGGACTACCATGAACTTCATGGAATCGGTACGTAACGCTGCTTCTCCCAGCTTGAATTGCCAGACTTGAGATTACTGACTTTACCTACGATAGTGAATGATGCAGCAGTTGCGTGGAAGAACAAGTTGGGCCCCCCATCTAAGAATCGACATCGATTTGATGGCTTTCGCCATTACTACGACAAAGCCAACAACATGCATCCGCGCTGTTTCATATATCAAACCAAACAATGGATGTGGAACCCACGAGTCCCCCAAGGTACCCTTGTGATCGAGTGGTCGACGGTGGGTCACAGTCGTGCGACAACAGGATACGCCGCCGAACAATAGTAAGTCAACTAAATAAGTCGACATGTTTAATACTTGCCGCCAATTTACTAAAAACCTTTTCTTATGTTCAGCGACAACCGTCCTGGTCGCCACAGTCTCCAGATCGCCTTCGATTCATCCGGATGGAATAATTGGGCCTGGGAAGTAGTCCACGAGATGGGACATGTTATTGGCTTAGAGCATGAGCATCAGCGAGCTGATAGTGAGTTTTGTCTATGTGGAAATATTCCTACTTTAACTAATGGTTTCAGGGGACCAGTTTGTCCACTTCGACTGCACGAAGCTCATCGGTTACTGGGAGGCCAAGAAAAAGGTTGAGAGCGAGCCCCGGTGGAGGGGTTTCACGATCGACGAAGTATGTAAGTCGCAATATCTGGGTACCACCAGGGACCTCAACTGGGGGGTACCTCATGAGTATTCGTTGGACATGGGCCAAAACGAGGACCGTCACGACTATGTTCCGACCAAGGGTTTCCAGTACGACCACGACTCCATCATGCAATACTATTCTGCTTCGGCCGCTGGATATCCAAACGGCGCCGTCCAAGATATGCCTCTTGTGCGCTGGAAGAACGGACGTCCTAGTGACGGCTCAGGGCCTGATTCGTCGAACGCGCAGAGGATTCCACGTCCTACTAAGATCTCGGATCTAGACAAGGCTGCCATCCAGTTTCTGTACCCGTGAGAGGGGACTTAAGAAGGTTAGTACTTATTGCATCAGGATGGCGCGAGATTGGCGTGCTTCTTCCCAACAAGTTGTTGTTGGTAGAGGCAGTTGTCCGCACAGCGTTATACTACGGTCAGGTAGATGGCAAGACGTATCAACGTTCTTACAAATAGTCTCAAAAGATGATGGTTTACAATCCTTTCTGCATGTGCACATCTCCTATGATGTCGGGGGTCGGGCGAAGGTCCCTGAAACCCTCTGACGTCGGCTGGACCCTGAGGCTAAAGTCGCCGGTTCCCCACATCGGGGCCGTTGCGGCAGGTACCACAATGACAGCACCACATCGCCGGGAACATCGTTCGGTATCCGAAAAAGAACCGTCAATACACACACGCAATACTAAGATGCGGCTCCTGATGTTAAACCACAAAGTCAACGTTGCATCCAGATACCGATCTCGGTCACCGTGAACAGCATCAGTCCACCTTCAATACATCGAAATTACCAGATTACCCCCAACTCAACAGCAAAAGCTTCAGATCATCCACTAGCTATGGCAGCTGCTACGATTGCACTCAATCTCGATTTATCGAGCCTCAACGTTAGCACCGGAAACGACGATAACAACGTTTCTAGCGACTTCTCCTACGGCTTCTCGCACGCGAACGGCACCAACGGCGACAATGCCAAACCTTTACCAATCGTGATGGCAGGAGGCGGTTGTGTCGGCCTCTTCCTAGCCCTCCTTCTTGCACAGTCAGATATACCCAACAAAGTGGTCGTCATCGAACCGCAGCAGCCAGATCCCATGTCGACGCGCGCAATGGCACATCAACCGCCTACATACCCCATTTTATCCAAAGTCGAAGGCTTATTACCAGAACTGGTGAAGACGGGAAGTTTGAGCTCAGGCCTATGTTTCCGAACAAGCATCCAAAACGGCAGCAAAGTGATTGCAGAGAAAACGTTCGACAACTCCGGCGAAGGCATGAAAGGAAAGGGACAACTCCTCTTACCGCAGGGAAAATTCCAACAAATCCTCATGAAGCGCCTAGCAGCTCTGGGTGATGAAAAAGCAGAAATCCGCCTCGGAACCAGCGTCACCTCCTTCAAATCAACACCCAACAGCGTCACCGTGCAAATCACCCCCGAAGCCACCTCAACCCAACTCGGAGACGAAACGCTCGAAGCCGCCTACCTAATCGACGCAACCGGCGCCCACTCCACCGTCCGCAAAGACCTCAACATCAGCCTCGAAGGCGAAACACTCGACGCCCAACTCGTAGCCACAGACCTTTACTTCGACTTCCACGCCCACGGCTTCCACGACGCGAACTTCATCATGGATCCGCTGAACTACGGTCTCATTGGCCGCATCAACCACGCCGACGCCACCGCGGATGGGAAACCCGCCTTATGGCGCGTGAGTTATGGGGTTCCGATTGGGGTGTCTGAGGAGGAGATTATGAGGACGCTGGATGAGAAGTTGGGGGTTATGATGCCGAATGGAGGACGGGATGGGCAGGGGGAGAAAGCGTATGAGGTTGTGAGGGTGGCGCCGTATAAAGCGCAACAGCGGCTTGTGCCGTCGTTGTATCATCACGAGGAGCGTGTTTGTCTTGTTGGGGATGCGGCGCATTTGACGAATCCGTATGCGGGGCTTGGTCTGGCGTCTGGGATGGCGGATGCTTCTTCACTCTCTGAGGTTCTCATTCGTGTTCTTACGAAGAAGGCTTCGGATGATGAGAGGTTGTTGAATGCTTGGTCGACGGCGAGAAGGGAGAGCTTTTTGAACGTTGTGGACAAGCCGTCGAGGATGGCGTATAAGCGGGTCAAGGCTGATGTTAGCAGTGATGAGAAGATTCAGGAGATGATGAGTAAAGATCCGCTTGTGGGTGCGTTGAAGAAGGGTATGCCTGTTCAGCCGCCGAGTTTAGAGACGAAGGGGGAGGAGTTGGAGGGGTGGTGATAGGGAGGATGTTGATCATGCCTCATTTTGAGATTGTTGTAGATCTTCTTGTGCAACATCGCCATAAATTCATTATACATTAGACCTCGCAAGATACGAGTTGCTCAAGAGATCATTCCCCAGCATACCATCCCTCCAAACGACTAACACCCGTAGGCAGCACATCGTCTTCAACCACCGACTCCGTAAGCTGCCCCCACGAATACATCTCCCCATCCCAATCCCGCACCTCCACGACAGGATAATCCTTCGGCGGAACAGGCGGCCTTTCATCCACCCCCGCCGGCGCAGTCGCCCTCTTCACCTTCGCATAAGCCAACCTCGCCACAGCCGCCGCATCCTGATCCGCCGTAAAATACTCGAGGTAATCCTGCAGCTGAGGCGTGAGATTACTCTCCGGATACCCCTCGACGCGTCCAGTAGTCGTCCGGTTCCATCCAAACTCAGTAAGACTGGGCAGTGAACGGACTAGTCGCATCCACTCAAGATATATACCCGGTCGTTGGAGTAGAGAGTAAACAACATTAGTATGTTTCCACTCCCTCACCCCCTTCCCCTCTTCCCCCATATGCCGCCCAACATGATCACACCTCTCCCCCCACTCGTTACTAAAATGAACGCAGAACCCACAGCCCCAGCCCGTCCTCGTCATTCGCCGCCGTCGCGCAGACTGCGCATGAACCTTTTTCCTGCCAGGCCCCACCGCAGCGCAGGACGTGCATCGGTGGGCTGTAGCGTGGTGTTTCGTGTAGTCCTTCGCGAGGAAATATATGCACTCGCAGAGTCCACACGTGAACATTTCGGGTCGCTCTTGGTACGTTTCTTCGTGCCGCTTCCAGTCTGCTTTTGAGATGAAGGGGCGGGTGCAGATGGTGCAGAAGTAGGCGTGGGGTTTGGGGCAGAGGCGGGATTGCTTGTGTGCTGAGACGCAGGTTTTGAAGTAGTCTTTTGATTGTGGGGCTGGTTTCTTGGGAGACTTCGCCTTGGTGGGACGGTGGCAGGGCTCTTCTGTTGGAGTTGCGGGATATAGAGGTGGAGAGGTGGGACCGTGACATAAGAGATGTTCAGCTATCGAAAAGTGTTGATTCCGAGACATGTCGGAAGTGTTCGAATAGCCTGATATGGACGATGACATTGAGTCTCGAAGAGGGGTCTGCGAGAAGCTGCTGTTCCCCGAGGATCGATAGCTTGACATTGCCGACGAGAAGCTTGAAGCGGAGAGGTGTTGCGACGAGACGAAGGGCTGGCGTACGGTGTTTGCGGTCG